ACATTACATGAAAACATTTTCCCACATATATCACCACCAAGGCTTGCTCAGGTCCACTGAGGCTCATCACAGACACAGGTGTGCTGGCCCACTCTGAGTGAGCCTGTGGACTTGAGAACACAGACTGGCTTTGCTCTCATGGCATCTGGAGGCTCATGCTATTCGTGCTTTGCAGCACATCCAGATCAAGAGTTAGAGTCTTCTTTAGACATTAGGTTTACTGACAATTTAGAAAGAACAAGCCTGCTTTCTGGTTCTGTAAATACTACCATTAGTTAGTTCTTAAAAACACTTCAGGAATAAACAGGCCGAGTGAATAAAAAGGCAGTATTTTATGTCGCTTTTTGATTATAAACCTTCATTCTGTGAACTTTGCTGAGGATTAGAAAGTGTTGGTTAAAGATTCCTAGAGGAAACCTCTATGGTTAGGCAATTTTGCCTTCATCTGTTGCTTTTGTTCTCAGTATTAAGTTGAAACAAGGCCTTAATGAGGACAACACAAAACATATCAATGCTGCTTATCTTTTCTATGCCCGAAAAAGGCCGATTTCTGGGCCCTTACTAGTTGTAGTAAAACACGTTCCATTAAGAGTGGTTACAAGTAGGGTCACTTATTCATTGTGCCTTAACCAGACAGAGCTCTTTCTCGATGCTTCGAATCACACCAGACACACTATTGCCACAGGACTTTAGCACTGGCTGCTCCCTCCACTTGGAATGCTCTTCCTCTCTGTAACCACAAGTCTGACTTGTTCACCTCCTTCTAGTTTTGTACTGAATGTTACCTTCTCAACGAAGCTCACTTGATCATCCATCCTATTTAAAACCGGTGGCCCCTTGGGGCGCCTGGGTGGCTCAGTTGGTTAAGCCTCTGACTTCAGCCCAGGTCATGATCTCACCATTGGTGAGTTTGAACCCCGCATTGGGCTCTGTGCTGACGGCTCAGAGCCTGGAGCCTGCTTAGGATTCTGTGTCTCCTTCTCTCTCTGACCCTCCCCCACTCACATTCTGTCCTCTCGCCCAAAAATAAATAAACATTAAAACTGGTGGCCCCCTTGAACTCCTGATTCTTTTTTCTCTATTTTAGGTGTTGACAAACTGTGGCCCATTGGCACAAAACCATCTTCATTTTTTAATATCTTGATTGTGGCCAATTCTGCCCTATAACAGCAGAGTTGAGAGACAATGTAGACTGCAAATTGCATGGTAGGTTTTTAATAACTGTTGAATGAATGAATGAAGGAATGAATGCATATAAAGTGCTCCAAAAAGATTAATTATGGTCATTATTATTTCAGTATATCCACAACTTTTCAAAAGGGAAGGGTATATATTACCCCAGCATATATTCCCAACGTAACATGTAGACAGTTGGGACTACCACAAGACTTCCTCACCTATGGTGAGAAGTGTGCTTTTACGGGTTTGTCTCTAAGCCTTATATACCTGCCTACTTCCACTAGAACACCTACATGATCCTAAAATAAACACCAGAGGAAAAGGCTTTTTTATAAAAGTAAACATCTTTTGCAGCTCTAAGACATTTGGCTTTTGTTGGGGAAGTACTATTTTCAGGTTCAGACAGAAGAAGGTCTATTTTTACACTATAGCCAGACAAGACTTAACTATTGAGCCAAATGGGTAGGTGCATTTTCAAACTATGTCTTTATTTCACTTAAAAGAAGAGGGGAAGGGATAAGCTCACCTTTTGATCAAGGAAATAAAAGATTCAACCTTCCAGTTCCTTCAGTAATTGATAAAATTTTTTTCCATGTGGGTTACAGTTCTTGAGCACATTAACAAACACCAATTTATATAGTCTCTTGTCTATGCAAAATATTCACAAAGTTACTGCAAAGGCATTAAGGTTGGAACCCATGTAATCAGAATTCTGAAAATCTATTTTTTATTTCTGCTTTTTAATTGCTACTTCAGTTGTAGTTTCCAAAAGCACAGGTGTATCAGCCTCCTTATTGTTTTTAGATAGTATTGGCGGGGGGTGGTAAACATGAACTAAGAGTTAGGTGTGGCAGAAGTGGATCTTCCATGATAGCCAGCCTCAACTGGGGATGATTTTGCATTTAGCAAAATCTGGAGATATTTTTAATTGCCATGACTGAGAAGGTGTTACTGGCATGTTAGTGTAACAGCATCAGACAGGGGTGCTTCTAAACATTCTACAATGCCCAGAACAGGTACCCCTGACTTCCCAACAAGGAATTATCTTGTTCAAAATGTGAGCAGTGCCAAGGTTGAAAAACCCTGCCCTATAATATAGTTAATACTTTTCCTTTCCCTTTCTAAGCCATTTGCTTTCTTGCTGCCTTAGTGATGTCATCCTATGCAACCTAGGATTAATAACAGGTGTCTATGTCCTTTATCACTGGGAGAAGATAATGACTGTCCAATAGTGCAAATAATTCAAGCATTAAAAATCCCTAAGGAAGGGAATTATTACTACTTATTAAGATTAAATAGTATCTCTAGATTTCATGGCTATATTGATTCAGGGCTGCTTTTTTAAAATTTAAATAATTTAGAGAAGCTTAAAATGTCTAGTTAGTGATCCCCTGTGGGGTCATAGAGAGAAGGTCACAGAACAAAGGGTGCAGAAATCCCTGTAAAAAAATCCATAGCCAATGTGTTTCCTCTTCTAGGTCTCTTTGTGGCTGTTCTATTCCAGACTGTCTCCCCTCTCTGGATCCCTGCCTCTGACCTTTCTGGCTTCTTCCTCTTCCTAAAGGATAGTTTTGCTCCAACCTCTTATTCATTTCCCCTTAATTTGCTGAGTATTTCATCAACGATCTTGTTTTACTCAAGCATTCCCTTGGGGTCTCACCCTTCACTCAAGTAGCTTACTGCGTTTTTCCTGAACAAATATAGTGTCTTAACAAGATAAATTTGGATGAAAAAAATATTCTCTTCTAAATAAATATAAATCTAAATATAAATATTTCCCCTTGAATACTTAATAATTTTATCTCATATAGCCCTTCTTAATTAGGAAATGGATAAATAGTAATTAACATAAAAAAGAAAACCAGAGCAAAGAATTACTTCATTTATTTTAATTTGGGGCTAAAAAGAGAACACTGTGGCTTTAAACAAGGTTCCTAATGTCTAAGGCACCTAAATCCTTAAATTGTTATTGGAAGAAACTGTGTTTGTTTTTTAATTTTATAAAAGTCTTGGGTTCATGGTGACAGAGGGCTGGCATAGTGGTAGTGGCTGCTATGTAAATGGAGGACCCAAGTGGTAATCTTGAAGGGTCAGAACACCCTATCTTCAACACAGATTATCTTCTCACAAGAGTTTATGCAAACTAAAAGAATATTATGTGCACTTCTACATAAATGTCTAATAGATTTTTTTTAAATTTTTTTTTTCAACGTTTATTTATTTTTGGGACAGAGAGAGACAGAGCATGAACGGGGGAGGGGCAGAGAGAGAGGGAGACACAGAATCGGAAACAGGCTCCAGGCTCTGAGCCATCAGCCCAGAGCCCGACGCGGGGCTCAAACTCACGGACCGCGAGATGGTGACCTGGCTAAAGTCGGACGCTTAACCAACTGCGCCACCCAGGTGCCCCAATGTCTAATAGATTTTTAAGGGGAGGTTAGTGATTAGGATATAACACAAGGCTCTTCTACTCAGCAAGTTGGAAACATGTTAGATGTAGAAGATTGAGTTGATAGGCCACTGGTCCACCCCATTATGTTATTTCTTAGGTTTCTATATGTTTTCTTAGAAGAGGAGAAATATTTTGTCTATATCAATTAAATTTAAGAGAAAATGTAACTTATTTTCCATTTGCACCCAATTTAACATCCAAAATCCTTGCATTGGTTTATAAGGTCTAGAGGATATGGCTACCTCCATCTTGCTAACCTCATCTCCTACTCTCCCCTCACTCACTTACTCTGTTCTAGAACTCTGCCTCCTTGCACTTCCTCAAACTCTTCAGACACTCTCTGTCTCAGGACCTTTATACTTGTTCCTTATGCCTGGAATGTTCTTTCCTAGTTTATCCACTTGCTTTCTTCCAAACTCAAGTCTTTGCTCTACTTTTTTCTCATTGATCACACTATTTCATATTTCATATTTCAAAACACACCTTTGCTTTCTCCCCTCAGCTTTGTTGATCCTTCTTCCCTACTCAACTTTTCTCTGGTTTTACACAGTATTAATAACAAACTAACAAACGAAATAATGTACTCATTTATAATGTGACTTGTTTATTTCCTACTTGCCTCTGTTAGAATATTTCTCAAGGGCAAGGACTTTTGTCTGTTTTGCTCCCCAAAATATCTCAAGAACCTAGAACAGTGTCTGGCTCATAGTAGCCATTCCATACATATTTATTGAATAAATGAATGGGTTGGTTAAACATAAGCAGGGACAGAGAGCTCTAGTTATGGCAGTGGTCTCTGTGAGGAGGTTGCAACTCTCAAGAGGGCAGCTTGTAGACACCCTAAAACAAGGACAGAAGGAAGACAGAGGTAGGGGAGAGGGGGTAATGTGTATTGTATTTTACAATCTTTTTCTAGGGTTGGCCTTGCTAATGGATATCTGAGGAATAGGAAAATTCTTGGATATAGGTGCTCATAGGCAGCTGTTTCCAGTGTATGTAAGTGTTGTGTGCGTGTGTATGTGTGAGAGAAAGAGAGAGAGAGAGAGAGAAAGAGAGAGAGAGAGAGAGACAGAGAGAGAGAGAGAGAGAGAGAGAGGAAGGCATTGCAATAGTATGGCTAAGAAACTTCCTGTCACTCACTTGACCTCTCATACCTTCCACCTCCATGCACTCAACCAGCATGCTGATACCTGCAGCGTGCCATCTGGTTTTATTTTTATAGTCAGACAAAGATGACAAACTCAAGACATCTTTGGATATAACCTTAAATACCTCTCAGGGCCACAGTGAGACAAAACAACTTCATTTTTACCAGACACAAGACAAAGATGACTCATCAGACAAAACAAATCTAGTTTTACAAACCCACCTGCTCACTCCTGGGAAGCTGTTTTAATGTGATATTCCAGTGTGCTCCAGCTGAATTAGAAGGCAAAATGGAAAGTTTATTAGAAGACTAAAAGGTCACGTTAGTTTATGCTTTCTTCCCCAGTATGAGGATTCTGCTAGTGATCACAGCTCTGAGCATGAGCTCTGAATTACGAATCAGACTGCGTGGGTCTAAATCTCATTCCATTACTTAAATGGCTATGACTAAAGTTATTTAGTCTCTTCATCCTCAGTTTTTCCCATTTGTTAATAGTATTGTGAGATTATCGTGAGAATAAAATGAGCTGATATATATGTAAAGTGTCCAGCAAGGCTGAGCAAAGGGTATCTCTTAGGCATACTGTATAATACAGGCAGTCAGGTTGCCTATATTAAAATCCTGGCTTTACTACTTTCTTGCCTTGCAACTTGGGGCAAGATACTTCACATCACTGCTTCAGCTTCACTTTTAAGGGAAAAATTACTGCAAAGGAGAATTCAACAAAACAGTTTAGGAAAATAACTTCTGAAACACCTGACACACAGCAAGTGTGCAATAAAAGGCAATGGTTATTACTCTTACCACTACAATTACTACCACTACTATTACTGTTACTGCAACCACAGCTGATGCTGCTACTACCATATTAGCAATGTGAGAAGGCTGGAAAAAAACCCATAAACTTTTACTCCCATAGAGACTTTGGTTTACAGATTTTGAAGACATTTTCTCTCACCTTCCTATCCATATTCCTTTGTTTATCCCTGCAGTGCATTTATCAAAAGAAATTGGTGAATGTTATCAAGATACCAGAATAAGGGGATGCACTTCAGATTCTAGACTCTAGAAGTAGGCGTGGAGTTCCTTGGATTATAATTTGAACAGCATCTTTGAGGGCAAAAGTCCCTGTTTTCCGGTTCATTTTATTTGGAACTTGACATCCTGAAAATAATGGAAGGAACAAGGAGCTGGCTGTAACTGAGGAATAACTGGTCACTCTGGGAGAGGCAGAAAGTTCTCTATGAATATCTGTTTTGTCTATCTCTAATATTAAAATTCCTGAGTCATAGTTGGGCACTCTGATTTTTAGTTGGAGACTCTATTTCCCAGATTTATTTGTAGCTAGCTGTGCCCTTATGACTAAGTTCTTGAAATAGAATGGCAATAGAAGTGATATGTACGACTTCCAGGTTACACCTTAAAAGAAACGAGTAATACACATGTCTTCTCCTTTATTTCCTCTCACTACCTGGGATGTACACATGATGGGGGGTGTTAGAGCATCTGCTTTAGATCCAGAGATGGAAGGTTCTTAATGAGGATGGCACAGATACCCTCCCAACATTGGATTGTCTTATCTCTGAACTTTCACATGAGAGACAACAATAAACTTCTATATTGTATTAGCTGCTAGACTTCAGGATCTCTTAGCCTGTAATTAATACAGCCAAAATAACTCAATAAAAATGGCACTCTACACAACCATAATCATAAAGGAAGACAATGTCATACTGCTTGAATGTAATGAAAACATTTTCAGAAAGGAAATACCTCAGTCTTTGAGGTAGATCATTTTATTTTTTTTATTTATTATGTTTATTTATTTTTGAAAGAGAGTGCAAGTTGGGGAAGGGCAGGGAGATGGAGACATAGAATCTGAGGCAGCTCCTGGCTCTAAGCTGTCAGCACAGAGCCTGATGTGGGGCTCAAACCCATGGGTGGTGAGATCATGACCTGAGTCGAAGTCAGATGCTAAACTGACTGAGCCACCCAGGTGCCCCATAGGTAGATCATTTTAAATCTAAGAGACTACATTAAGTTTTGAACTTCAAAGCATTCTCCAAGTCTTTTTCTCATAACAGTTATGTCTGCAATGGTACCAATTACCAGCGCTCTTTGGGTTTGTGGTTAGATACTCTTTTGTATGGTTAGAATTCAAACAAATGCTAATGTTATTATCTACATCGCCTTTATTTAGGGTTTTAACGTATTCAGTTCATGGATTAGAGTGATGCAGACACCAAAGTAAAATAGACCCTAAAATTTAGGATAAAAGACAACTATATTAAAATGCCAGTAAGAAGTTGATACAATCACATCAGGGAATGACATGCTCAAGACTTACAAGCCTGAATCATTTACTGTATGTACTGCTTTTATGTTTAACAAAATCTTTAAAGAAAATTACATGCTAAGGTTGTGACTGATTGTTTACAAGTTTAGAATTATCCTCTGATTTAGTAGTTTACTGCTCTATGAGAGTGAGTTTAAGCATCCTTAGGAAGTCAGTATTTTAATTTATATATATATATAAATAAATTATATATAAATATATATATAAATGTGTATATATATATATATATATATACACACACATTCAATAAATATTAAAGTATATTTGACACAAAATGCTACATTAGTTTCAGGTATACAGCATACTGATTTGACAACTCTATACATTACGTTATGCTCACCACAAGTGTAGCTACCCTCTGTCACCATATAGCACTATTAAATACCGTTGACTGTAAGGAAGTCAATTGTAAAATGTAATAACTGAAAATTAGTACAACTGGGAATTGGCATGTTAATGGAAATTGAAAGAAGCAGGCTCATGTTGCAGTGTGAAATCCAAAAAAAGGTAAGTGACTCTGCGGTAGAAAGGAGATTAAAAGTAGACCTTTTTCTTCCACACAGTCATGGCCAAAGGATGATTTCATCTCACATACTGTGATTATGATTCATCAGGGAATATCTAAAGCGAAGGCAGCCTTTCATCAGGCTAGCATAGCTTAATAAAAATGCCTGTAAGAACATCCACATCCTGTCCTTTCCTTCTGTAAACATTTGCTCTGAGGTTTGCGCTCTTGGATCGACCCACCATGCCAGAGGAAATGGGTACCCTCTCTCTAGGCCAGGTTTGCCTGATATCGTTACAACTAATTTTCTAGCCTGCAGATAGATCTTTTAGAAGTTCTTTTGACGTGGCTCAATGCCTATGTATCTTTTTACTTCTAAGTCAATGAGTAAATGAAAGTTTCTGAATATTTAGATCTGGGACCAGATCATTAATCTCATCCATTAGATTCAGTCTGGAATAGCTATCCTTGAGTTCGTACCATCACATGTATTTTTATGCTAATTTTATTTCTGGGGGAGTACTATTCTTAATAATTTAAACAGTACTCAATTTTAAATCAGACAAAGGAAAGACAGGTAATATTGATCTTAAAAATAAATGATTACCCCACTACGCACTAAGTAGCCTGAGGGAAAATACTGATTTAACACCAAATGCTGACAAGAATACAGAGAAACTGGATCTTTCACACATAGTTGGTCAAATACAAAGGCAGACAATTACTCCAGAGAACGTTTTGCAGTTTCTTAGAGAATTAAACATATACTTAACAATCTAGCAATTGCCCTCATACATTTATCCTAGGAAAATTAAAACTTACTCTCATAAAAATCTGTATACAAATTTTTTTTAGCAACTTTAACTGTGATAGCCCTAATTAAAAACAACCCAGATGTCCTTCAAAAGGTGAATGAATAAACAAACTGAGGTAAATCTATACAATGGAGTACTATTCTGAAACACAAAGATATTATTTATATACACATCAACTTGGATAAATCTCAAGCCATTATGCTCAATGAAAAAAGCCTAACTCAAAATATTCGTTACTACATGATTCCACTCTTAAAACAGCAAAATGATAGGAATCAGATCAGTGGAGAATAGATCAATGGAGTTAGGGATGGGGGAAGAGGGAGGTATGACTAGGCATCGTGAAGGAGTTCAGTGGTGATTAAATCTCTATGCTGATAATATTTCATAGAACCATACAATGGGAGTGTATGTGAAAACTAGTGAAATTTGAGTAAATTCTATAGTAAGAGTATTCCTGGTTTTGATAATGTACTACAGTTAAGCAAAATGTTAGTTTTGGAGAAGCTGGGTAAAGGGTTCATGGGACCTCTCTATACTATTTTTGCAACTTCTTGTCAATTTATAATTATTGCAAATAAAAAAATTTGAATTGATTATATTAACTCACCAAGTACTACAGTTTACTTTTTAATCTACTTATTTTATTTTATGGGAAGTAATGCAAGGAGGAGCAAGAATGTCAAACTGCTTTAATCAGAACAGTTCTGCTTTTTATCTGTTTATTCCTATGGGAAGATTTCTTATGTAGACACAGTTCTTGGGATACAGTCTGAAAACCACTTCTAAAAAGTTATAGACATTTTTTGAGACAAAACCAAATCATGTACAATAATTTAGTTTTTAATCAAGAAAAGTAGGTATGCTTTAGAAGGCATTTTGATTATTATTTATGGTAACAAAGAGTTTTGGCTTCCAAGGGAAGCTATTATAAATAGCCACATATTTTAGACATGGTATGAGACCTGGTTTGTTTGTTATGAAATTACAGATGCTGATGTTAACCAGAGCTAACATGCTGCTTGTTGCATTGCAGGGAAATGAAATTGTTGGTGGACTTTTCCTAGAAGTCATTTAAAACTGGCAGTTAGCTGGTAGAGCAGTGATTTTTCAATCTGAGATCCAGTTAGGCAAGACAAGAACGGCTACAAAACTACTCAGCTTGGCCTAATGTAGGATTTGTTGCCAATACAAACTGCACCTCTAAATATTCAAAAAAATCTTTATTTGCTCCCATGAAATGTTGTCCTCATGCAGGTATTTTGGACAGCAGAGCAGTTTGAGGTGGTTGACAGCTGCCTCATACAGAGATGTTTCTTGTGGCACCTGTAGAGGCAAAGCTTTCCTGGTAGGATCTGACCAGATGTGGTTTGGACCCTTCACTCTACATGCTCAACATACCTACCCAGAGCCCCAGTAAGTTTCTTACCCCAGTGACCAAAGCCTGACTACAGCTGTGGTGCTTAGACACGGCCTCTGGGGTAATTATAGAGTTGGCCTTGTGGTTGTCTTCCAGGAAATGGCAAATACCACTTGCCTTAGTTGGTCCCGGCAGACTTCACTCGGGGACAACAGGAAACAAAGTCCATGTAAGGGCATCCTGTAGCCGCTGCTACTTTTTGGCAGCTGGAAGGTAGACATGTTCTCTTTCACCATCTCCGTTTCCCCTTCCTAAATCAATTTGAGGCTTGTACGTATACAGTGATCCTTAAAAGGACCTACACTGGATAATTGCTTTTGACCTTCCTCCACTTACTCTGACTCTGAGAATGTTTTTGCAGCTAACTTTTTCAACTCTATTATCTTACTGCCAAGTGTCCTGGAAAGTTCTTCAAAGAGTTTTCTCTGCTTTCATCATTTAAGAGAATAGCTTTATTAGCTTGGGGCCAAAAATGGATTTAAAAAATATAATTAGTTCCCAAAATTAAACTTACCAGCTGCAGAAACTCAACTCTTCTCTGAACTGTTAAATTTGGATGCGAACTGTGAAACTGGAGCAGGAGCATGCTGTTTGATGGGGGTGGGAGGGGACAGGTCACATAGGGTCTTCTCAGGTGTCCTCACCATCTCCTGTCCTTGGGTACTTGTCCCATTTCCCTACAGCAAGAGGAATTTGATAGGGTGTTGTATGTGAAAGGAAGCCATAGCAGGAAAAGTTTTGGAATGCCATGGAGTATTATATGGCCACTAAAAATAATTAATTTCCAGCTAATCCAAATGATTTTCTGCAATTCCCACAATAGTTCAATTATTGTTGTGCGAGGAAAACAAGATACAGAAGAGTGTGATACTATATGTGGTACACAGAATTGGTCTCTCTTGCTTGCAGGTTATACATTTGGCAGGTGCAATAGTTAAATTAGCTGTGGTGAACGGGAGCATGTATTGGGCATATGCATAGTCTCTCTCCCTGAGACAAAGGTATTTCATCCATTTTCCCATTTTGCTAGCAATGGGTGGCTGATGAGAGGATGAATAATGTCACCTGGCTGAGTCATTTTTGTCTACTTGGCTGTTTGGTACCCCTTCCATGTTGGTTGATCTTGGGTAGGTGTTACATGTTTTCAGGCTCTTTATACTTCATGCTCATTCTCTAATGTTCAACTATCTGCCTACTTCCCAGGTTTCCTTTTTCCTGATATTCCAGTCTTTCTCCTTATAGGCCCATATAGTGGGTTTAAGTGTTTGCCCCAAATTCATGCCTACCTGGAAACTCAGATTGTGACCTTCCTTGGAATTAGCATCTTTGTAAATATAATTAGTTAAAAATCTTGAGATAAAATCATACCAGATTTAGAGTGGGCCCGAAGTCCAATGACTGGGGCTCTTATAAGAAGAAGGGAGGATACTGAGAGGTGCATGGAGAAGAAGGCATTATTGACAATAAAGGCAGAGACTGGAATGATGAGTCTACAAGCCAAGGAATGCCAAGGATGGCTGGTGATTACTGGAATCTAGGAGAGAGGCTTGGTATGGTTTTGTCCTTAGAGCCTCCAGAAGAACTAACCCTACTAACACGTTGATTTCAGATTTCGGGCTTCCTTGAACTATGACGGAATAAATTTAAGCTGTTTAATCTGCATGGCAGCTCTAGGAAATGAGCATAGTCCCTGACCAGCTGGCCAAGCATCTGCTACTATCCAAGAGTCCATGTATATTCTGACCTTTGGTGGTTTCTTTCTTCACACAAAATGAATAATTAGGTATATAGCCCTGAAGCTCTGCCTACTGGTTGATTTCCCTTATCACTATGTTTCAAGGGTATCGCTTAAACATTTATGATAGCTAATTTCTATCATACAATAAATTTGACATATTAAACTAAATACTTCTGACATGAAAAGGTATCCTTAAGAAAGCAAAAAGATAAATGAAGACAAAATATTTGTAACACCTTGGCAAAGAACTGATAGCAAGAATATATACAAGATATCTATAAGGTAGTAAGACCACAATGAGATACCATTTAAAACCCAATTAGTTAACTGAAGAAGTCTAATATAATCAAACACTGAAGATGATGTGGATAAGTAGACTGGCTTGTACTTTGCTGGTGGGAGTACAAATTGGATGAACTACTTTGGAAAATAATCTGGCATTATCTTTTAAAATTGGAGATTCGTGGGGCACCCGGGTGGCTCAGTTGGTTGAGCGGCCTATACTTGATCTTGGCTCAGGTCATGATCTCACAGTTTTGTGGGTTTGAGCCCCATGTTGGAAAAAAGTAGAAATGCCCATGCTCCCCACGTACTGCTCCTCTAAAGTAAGAACCACTGATACAAAAGAATTTAGAGAAACAACTTAATAGTTGAAGTGCTGGAAGTATAATGGAAGCATTCCCAAGTTCTCCAACCTCTGGAATTAACTTTTTCTTTAATTTACAAACCAAGTGATCTAAGTCACATTCTGCATACAATGGGAAATCCAGAACCTTCTCCAATGATCCTGTGATTTGCTGTAAAAGAGATTAATGTTCTTCCAGACATTTGTTACTGAAGTTTCCTGCTTCTGCAGAATTCTGGATCCCCACTCACTTGTATTCTCACTCTACTGTGTGAGTAGCCCTCTCTGTGCTTACTTTCTCTTCATTCACTCAAGTACCACTAATATATTTCACCTCCACTCCTGGCTCTCCCTCTCCTTTACTCTATCTCATTTTTTGCCCTAGAATTTATCATCATCTGGAAAATTATATATTAATTTCATGGGGACAGAGACATGGTCCGTTCTATTTGTTCCTACATCCCTAAGTGCTATTCCACATGCAGAAGGAACTCAATAAATATGTGTGTGATGAATGAATGATTGAAAACTTTATTATTATTAATGATATTTATTTATTTAATCTATATAGCAGACTTTTACTGTGAGCTTTGGATAATGGAGGTTACTTAAATCAGATCTCAGAATAGGAAAACAATTTAAAATGAAACGCTACACATCTCTTTTTTCCTAGCTCCCAGATCATTCTCAACAGGGAATTTCTCGCAAGCCTTTCTCCTTAGGCCATGTTTGTGACCTTCTTAGGCCTTCTTTCCCTTGACCTTTTAGGCCTTATCTTGTCCCTCCTCCCATCTCAGGTCCAGAGCTCTTCTAGCTTCCAATGCTGATTCAATCAGCAATGTACCTACACAATCAAAAGTCCAGTTGTTGTCTTTCCAATACTTGGTGCGTAAAATTTGATTAATCATAATCCTTGGCCCTTGACACAGTCTCAACCTTGGTCCAGGCCTGGACTTTATTTATTCATTTTTTTGTTTAGTTACACATTTGTTTATTAAATAAATACCTGTATATGCACCACGCAGCATGAAAATGAGAACATTCATAATTTCTAACATGTACCTATATTTTCCTCCCTATTTTATACCCTGCCTCTCTACAGAAGTTTTCCAAGTACCTCTGATTCCTGACAATCCCCTCCTCCAATCCCTCCTACCTCTGTTGGTGAACATTTCTTACATACAACTGTGCCTCCTAGTTTGGTCATCCCAGGGTAGCCCAAATAATCTCAGGTTATACAATTGTAACAAAGTAATAAATAAATTTTTTTATTGACAACATATTTAATTAAAAAAACCCAGAATTTGTTTAAAAACAATAGTGTTGTTAAATGAAATGTGAGAATCCTCAATGCCTTAATTTGAAAATCACTCCGTTAGTCTTTTTTAAAAATCAATTTTTGTTCCTCTTTAATAACAGCTCCATTTTTCCTGACATTGCTTGTTTCCAATGTATTGGAACTGAAACTGGACAAAACAGTTAGATGAATGTTGAATTAAAAGTCTCTTCTTTGATCTTTCTCTGTGTGTGTTTAATTTACTGAATGTTTACCACATGCCAAGAATCATCTTAAGCACATTGTATGTATTATTTCATTTAATGTTCACAATATCCCCATGAGTTACATGCATTAGTATCCCTACTTACAAATGCTCACGCAACTAAGTACAGTAGTTTCGCCACCAAGGTTGTCTGACTCCTGAGCCCATGGCTTCAATTCATTTACAATACTATCTTCAGTAAATACCAATATATTTAATAGAAAAATGTCCTAACATCACTCAACAGGAATCAAACTAAAACACATGAAATACTTTTTCTCATAGGAAAGTGTAGTTCCTATTGATTCATCATTTTAAACTTTCTAGTTAAAATGCTTCAAAAAAACACTACCTTTAATTTTCAAAATCTTCCAAGTTTATGATGATCAGCTCATGAATGCTAGAAGAAAAGATGATTCATTGCTGCCCAAATTAAAGTGCAGCAGGTTCTTAGTGAAAACCTAAGTCCCGGGTTAGTTAAGGACTAAATCTAAATGCCACATAGAATATATCCTTTTATTTTTAGGGCTCCAGGAAGCAAAGATATCCAGGTACTAGAACATTACAAACACTCAGTAGGTTTTGCCAGACAGCATAACTTAAGCATCTTATTTTTAGTAAAAAGAACTCAGTCTTCGTGCCCTACAAATGTCATATAGTTTGCTTTCATACCATGTTCTTTCGTCTATGGTTATTACTTACTTCTTAGGTACACAGATAGAAACTTTTGCTAGCATGGAATGAAACTTTTCCAAACTCCTACTTCCTTTCCTTACCACATTCCATAGTAAAACAATAATTTTTTAAAAAAAAAAATATCTCAAGTTGCTTTTCCTCTTTCTACAGCTATTTTAGTATTTCCAGGATTTCAAAGCATGTGTTCACATACACCCCACCCCCTACAATCCCTATATTAAAAAAAAAAGTTCTGTGAGCTCATAATTTCTCTGTTCTGAAGTTTTCCCCGTAAGTCTTGTAACAGAGTTATCCTTAAGGACATAAATAAGATAGGCTGTTTACAATTAGTTAAATCCAGGTAGTTCTCTTTCGTCATTAACAGTCTCTAGTATCCCTGACATCGATGCTATGAAACTTCTATTAAGAATTGGGTCCCCCAAGGCAATGTAGATCTTGTAGATTTTATTTCATTTTGAAACAAAACAAAAATTTGACAAAAACCACTAACCCTGTGATGCATGCTAACTTAATTCCATTCTGTTAAAACAATGCTGATTGGGGCCCACTGAATTGATTTCACAACCCATAATGAGTGATGACCCACCCTTTGTAAGTCAAGTGTCCCAAAGCGTGGCATCCCAGGCATCGCGGGACTGTGGCTTTCAGAACCTGGACCATACGTCAGAACTACTTGTAAAACTGCAAAAGTATGAATACCCAGTTCTCACATAGGACTTATTAAATCAGAATAGCCAGGGAATTAAGAGGGAAGTTTCTGAAACTTTTCACTTGACAGATTTGGGAGTACAGTTGGACTGGGGGAGTGACAAGAATGAGTTCACTTGTCACTAAGAAGTGAGATCAGTGAACTGCAGGGGTAGATCCAGGTTTGGTGGAGCATGAAGGTTGTACAATTTTGGAGTCCTTTTTAAGAAACAGTACAAATTAAGTAGGAAAATAAACATTTCTGTAGAATGACAAAATAAAGCACAATAAATTACAAATAGTATTTTATCTATTTATTAAGTTTTTATTTAAATTCCAGTTAACATACAGTGCAATATTAATTTCAGGTGTAAAATTTAGTGATTCATC